AAGACAACAACACAACAGCAGTGATTGTATTGTACTGACAGATTTGTATTGTTTGTATTTCACAGTTGTTAAATTAAAATGTTGATCTGATTACCAGGAGAGAAGTTATCGACTCTCTGACAGAAGTCGGCCAGTTGATTGTTGAGGATGACTCCGGGGCTCGGAGATAAAATCCTTGAGAGAAATCTGTGAGGAAAATGCATCAAAAGAATCTAAACTAATCTGGAGGAATAAAACATATATTATATAATATATATTGAAGCTATTAGTGGAGCTTCAGGAGCAGGATCACACCATTTGCTCTCATATTCTACACCTGACCAGAGACAAAGCTAACCCTAACCCAACACCGCCTTGAGCATGCTAAGCTAACAGTCAATCTAGCTACTTCATCCATTCATTCACTGCAGGTGTCAGGATCTTCAGGATCAGCTGGCGCCTTCGGCACAGCGCCCAGCTTTCCTCTACAGCTCTTGCAGAAGCAATTTCCTTCTTTTACGGAACTCCAGTCTTCCCTCTCAACATGTTCTAGCCCCGACAGGCAGCCATTAACTTCACCCTGTCTTCAGCCAATCCTCCCATTCGCCATCCGATCTCATTCATCTCCCATCCTTCTATATTTCCCACCAGTCTACGAAAACAGATCTCACACGTCAATCACTCAAATCTCGCTCTCCTCATCATGCCTTCCCTTCATTAAACGTCTTATTCCCACAGAGTTTGCTTACTTGTTCACTCTGTTCAGGGATGTATTCTGTTCCCAGTTTCCCACAGAACACCGACAGGGTATGGATGACTACATTAACCACGCCATAGGCCTCATCAAACTGGTTGGGAAAAGGCTTGTTGCTCTTGAAGGTGGACATCACCAGAGCTTTCAAAGTTCTCCCCATTCACCCTGAACTCAATTCGGCAATTCTTTAGCATCCACAAGGCGCAAATTACTTCACTGTCAGGCTCACCTTTGGTTGCAAAAGCAGCCCAAAACTCTGTCAGAATACCTCTGCTGGATCCTGTAACC